AAGTATTTATTATATTTTAAACTTTAAATACTGTTATTTTACAAATGTGGGAAACTGATACAGGGTTAAGCCTCAGACTGACCTGCTGGCAAAGTCACAAACAAGCCCTAGCTTAGAGGGCACAGTTCTCTTAGCATAATTAGGCTTGACCTTATCACACTCCCTAGATCTTATCTGAGAAGCTAAGGGGCTGAGGAAGTGCAGGAAGTATAACCATGGTGTAAACAAGTGAAACTCACAAGAACTGTGTAACTATGGTAACCACTATCTTGTTTACTTCTCACTATAAAAAGCTTGGTGAGGCCTGAGCACAGTGGAAGTCCTTCCTCTTGAGTTGGACTTGCTGCCTGGTCCCCCAATATTCCCAAATTATCTCGTGTCTTTTCTATTTCATTTGTTGTGCGGCTCCTCTTCCAGACCCGAACCCTGAACCACGCAGGACGTGGAGGGAAACACTTACAACACTTAACAATACCGACATACTGAAAGACATCGCATTGACTGACCTTCCTTTTCCTTAGTTTGTAATCATTTAACTCTTCTTCATCTGTGATCTTCTGTTGAGGTGGAGGTGGAAGAAGCTCAAGTTCTCTTTCTTTAGCTTCTCTTAAAAGCTGTTCCGCAGTGATCTGTACCTCAGCTGGGGCTTTGTTTTTCACCTTTTAAGACAAGACATTTCTATTTTTAGTAGATGCTCTGCACACAAGGTTTAACAAACATTTTTTAGAATGTGAACTTTACATATCACAAGATGCCCTCTTTGTGTGACATTTCCCATTTCTCTGGGCAACTAAACAGCAAAAAAAAATATGTATTCTAGCTTATGTATGATAGCTATTAGCATGCAATAGATAAAAGTCTCAAGAGAAAAGGTAGCAAAAGTAGCAAGTTTTCCTTTTAGATTAGTAAAATAAAAAACTCTGAGGATGCCCATGTAAAACTCTCACCACAGGTTTTGTTTATCAAGATGCAGCATTACAATTGTTTTACAGGATATTTGATCCATACGGAAAGCATTACAATGTTTATATAGCATTACAATAGCTATTTAGGTAATTCTTCCATGTAGGCCCCAGGTGGGTGATAACGCCCCAGGTGGGAAACTGTGTTTGATTTCTGATGGCATTTCAAGTCCAAGACAATATTCGTTGAGTTGCCATCATTAGAACATAAACTTCTTCAGGTCTTAGAGCTGTGCAGTCCAACACGACAGCCATGAGCCACATGAGGCGAGTCCCAACAGAGATGGGCTATAAGTGTAAAATACACAGTGGATTTTGAAGACTTGGCGTGAATAAAGAACAAGCTTCCTAATTAAGTTTTTATACTGGTTACATGTTGCAATGACAGTACCACGGACACACTAAGTTGTTAAATAAAATATATAATTAAAATTAATGTCACCTGCTTTGACTGTTTAACGTCACTATGAGAAAACTTTAAGTTACATATGGGGCTCCTGTTACTTCTACTGGCCCAGTAAAAGTTCATGGAATGGGATAAGAAACCCTCATTATTTAGTGCTGTACAATGATGCTGATGTTAGCTCATACCTAATGAGCAGTAAGTACTAGGTACTGTGCTGTATGCTTTATATACGTTATCTCTGGAAGTCACCTACGTGGGCATGTAAAGCAAGGCTCAAGAGCGTCACCTGGGCAGAGCACAGACTGGAGGGAGAGTACCTGTAAAGGCTTAGAACAAAGCCTGTTACATCATAAGTCACTGGCGAGTATCAGCCACCGAAGGAAATATTAGATATCAAATTTATTAACTTAAATTACACCACTACACAACCGTTGTCACCTCCTCTCATTCTGTCCACTCTCAGCGGGGCTAACTCCTTTCCAGCCTTCAAGTCTCGGCTTACCCGTCACGTCTCAGCATCGCTGACTCCTCCTACAACCCCCATTATTCCTTGGCACATCTGCTTTGCCTCCGTAGCATCTGGCACGGCGGCAACTTCACACGTGTCTCATCTGAGTACGGCTCCTCGCCAGCATTAGTGCAGCTCCGCAGTGCCTAGCGCCCTGCCCTGCTGTTCCCTCTGCTGAACGAACCTTCTCCGCTCCTCCACCCGACGTGCGGGCTGTGCTTCGGGGAACAAGAGCTTGCACCCCACTACCGCCCATCTCTTT